CCCCTCCCTCCCCCTTTCCTGGGGATAAACGGTCTTTTAATGCTTTGTTGTTGAATGTTACATCAACTTGATACTAATCTAAAAATTACATTCCCTGTCAAATTTTTTTCTTCAGTTTTGTTGATTTAATCTGTTGGTTCAAAATAATTCTAATTTTCTATTTTTACTTTAGTTCAAAAAGAAAATAGTTAAAATTAAAATTGGGTCAGATTAAGTATCTCTCATACTACTAGTTCCATTTAAAACACTTATTTAGAATTTTGAATAGTACAAAGGTATCCATAAAACAGCGGAAAAGGAAGACGATATCTAAGCAATCTTTTTTGTATTTGATGTTGTTAATGTTATACATTATTCAGTAAATAGTTTTATTAACCGCTTCAAATTCAAGTTATTGTTCAAACTGAGTTTCATGTTCATTGGACTATTTAAAATTAGAACGTGAGTCTAACAGTTGTCTTCTTAAATTCCACAGCTTTCTGGGTTTCACTGTAGCATGTACAACAACATGATTTGTTCAGGTTCCTCGTCAGGTAGAGAGACAGCAGTGCCAGCAGGTCGCACGACAGGTTGAGACCCAAGAATGCAGACAGGTCCCACGACAGNCTCTAAAGTTTAGGCAATGCTGTAGTTCTTTACATATTATTATGTTGATAAATGAGGCAATAGTTTAAAAAAACTGCTTGATTATTGCAGCGCTACATCAAATGTTCTGGTTACGCTTAATCTATAATGCCGCAAAACATTTAATATTTTCAGGTTGCGCTCGAAGAATGCCGCAACACTTTTTCAGGTTTCACTTGCTCAATACCGCAATACATTGAATATTTTCAGGTTGCGCGTGAGGAATGCCGCAATGTTCCTCGTCAAGTTTGCAACAATGTTCCAAAGCAGGTTGAGAAGCAACAGTGCACCAAGATCCCAAGAGAAAACTGCATTCAGGTGAAACATTTATTAAAAATAGTTTTCCAATCATAAGTTTTATAATTTATGACTTTTTCTCCAGGTACCAAGACAACAGTGTGATCCTATAACAAGACAAGAATGTGAGCAGGTCCCAAGAGAAACATGTAATCAGGTAATCTTGTTTCTTCTTTTCATCTTGGCTTTATTTAAGCAAAAACTTTTTTAGATTTTATAAAGATCAACCACTTTTTGGTGGAGCTGTATGGTGGAAATTAGATATAGAAATTGTTCATAATAAATATTTGTTCAATCTTGTTTACTCTTTTGATCTCTTGTCTATTGTTTAACAAGAACTCTTGGTTTTCTAGGTTCCTAGACAAGAATGTAACCAGGTTGAAAGACAAGAGTGTAGACAAATACCTCGAGAAGTTTGCAATAAGGTAAATAAATATATACACAATCCTATTTAACACTACAAGCCTTTTAACACAAACTAAATATGCATATCATGCTTGTATATAACAGTGTAGATAGGTATATAGAATCATATCTATAAGCAATCTTAATTTTTACAAATATATTCGGTTTAGGTCCCCAGAGAACAGTGCAGGGATGTTCCAAGACAAGTTGCAAGAGAGGTGAAGAAAATGAAAATATTTAATTTGAATCCTGAACTTTCGTAAACTGACAATTCTTTCTGCAAATTTTTTTCATTCAAATAGTATAAAGCTAAATTTAAATGTGAACGGTTTAGAAGCCATTGTTGTGAATTCTGTGTAACACTATTTAATCTAAATAGATCAAGTAACCCTCAATATAAAAATGGCAATGCCCGATTTACAATGGTACCCTTGAAAGTTTTGTCAGATCAAGTATGAATTAGATAGCAATGTTTATTTTTTATAATTTGCATAGATTGTCACTTGAAATTCGCTTTCAGTCCATTTTACTGAAATTTCTTGGAATTAAGGCATTCAATATTATCCATTTGTTCTAGGAGTGCAACCAAGTGCCAAGAGAACAATGTAACCAAGTGCCAAGAGAAGTTTGTGAGCAAGTGCCCAAGAATGTCTGCGACCAAGTTGAACGGGAGCAGTGCCGTGACGTACCCCGAGAGCAGTGCCAACAAGTGCCCAAAACCGCTTGCCGTACTGTACCCCGCCAGCAGTGCAACAAGCAGTGTACACCAACCTATTTTTGCGAAGTTTGTGAAAGCAGCGACACCTATGGAGCTCCTGCCGCACCGGTTCAGGATACCTACGGGAGTCCAGCAGCCAGCCCAGTACAAGCTCCTCAACCAACCTATGGTTAAACAAAAGACTTAAATTTGATCCTTACTATCCATCTATAGTTAAATGTTTAATGTTATGTTATGTTTGTCATCTTTGAACTTAATTTAAACTGAATCTCTGCTTATACTTTTTGTTTATATAATTGCCATATTTATTGAGACAATTTCTGAGTCATGTGCAGTTGTCTAATTTGGTCAACTGACTGGCCCTTGATTGTCTTCTTACGAGCTCAAGGTATACTAGACACTATGTACACTGTACACTATAGCGGAGAAGTTGCGTATTTTCTGACCAGAAAATTTCAGTTTCCCGCGAAAATGGTTCAGCATTTTCAAACCCTTTGAACCCGTATTGACCTTGGTCAGGAGTTCCTTTTAAATGCAATATTTTCTCTTGTTTTCAATACTTTCAACCTTCTATCATATCTATCTATTACCCCCCCCACTTATCCCATACCTCCTCTCTTCAACCCAAACCTCCACTACTCATCCCATCCAATCCATTCCTCCCATTCATTTTCATTCCATTCCTTCCCTTTTCATCCCATCCTATCCATCTCTTCATTTCATCCCTCTCCTATTCATCCCATAACTCCCCTACTCATCCCATCCTATACATCCCTCTTCTCTGCATCCCATACCTCGCCTACTCATCCCATCCTATCCATCCCTCTTCTCTGCATTCCATCATCATATTCATGTGACCAATAAAAAGCGTATTTATTTGCGTACAACGGCTGATGCCGCAATTTTTGGAACAATTTTTGATCTACTGGGTGTCCCACGAAACATGACAGTAACAAGGTCGTCTTTTATATTTGAAATATTTTGCGACACTTTTTTGTTACTAAAAGCACACACATTTTGAAATTGCCAGGACTAGAATAATTGTGTGGTTATTGTTTCAAGAGTCATACATGTTAAAGTAGGTTGACGAAATTAAAATAGCAAAGACGACTTAATCCTGTCATTTTTTGTGGGAAACCCTCAAATATATAAACGTAAGATCAAATTTTTTATCTTAAAATATTTAAAGAATAGTTTGCTCCTTTGAGTACAAGCTGTATAAACAAAGCTACAGGGTGTCCCACGAAACATGACAGTTGCTGAATATTTTGAAATGTCTTCTTCCATAATTTGTTAAGTTGTGTGATACCAAAGAAAATAATAATAAACATTATACGGCAGTTTTATTATAGTAAAATCGATCCCAGATTAAGATTTGTTGGAGTAAAAGATTTTGTTACCGAACTAAACTGCAAAAAGTCTTTAAATCTAATCCAGTATTTGGAAGACGACATTCTAAAATAGTAATCAACTGTAATGTTTCGTGGGACACCCTGTATTTAAAAACATTTGAACAAATATAAAGGAAGTATTTAAAAAAAGCATTTTATCAATTTAATTTTATCGCCAACTTTAATAGTAGTGTTTACTAACTATGCAAATTCAAACTTAAGAAGGAATTGTAGTTCCTCGTTATTTAATTGTCACAGACCTCCACGTTTCATTCACCTTTTCACTGATCATTGACGACAGAGAAATCCTTGCAATTTACAATCCTGTTGATCAAATAGTGTAAAATTAGAATAATAGGAGTGCAAAGATATAGGGATTACAAAATTAGAATAAATAAGAGTGCAAAGATTACAAAATTAGAAGAAATAAAAGTGCAAAGATATAGGGATTGTAAAATTAGAATAAATAAGAGTGCAAAGATATAGGGATTACAAAATTAGAATAAATAAGAGTGCAAAGATATAGGGATTACAAAATTAGAAGAAATAAGAGTGCAAAGATATAGGGATTACAAAATTAGAGTAAATAAGAGTGCAAAGATATAGGGATTACAAAATTTGTTTGTAACAAAGTTTGTGGCAAGAATTTAGTTCCATGACTTAAGTAAGATATAAGAAAAAATAATAAGTAAGGGAGGATAATTAAATTGAAAACTCCCGAGATGGAATTTAAAGATTTTGAGCCAAGGTTAAGTCTGCCAAAACCCGGTTTAAATTAAGCGCCGGCTTAAATCTTGAAACTTTAATTTAATTTAATGATTTCTAAAAATAGTAATTGGGTTTCTAAATTTCTCAACATTTTTGTGAAAACTTCGCAACATTTTTGTGAAAACTTCGCAAAAGTCGTATAGAAATTCAGAAACTAATCATTCAAGCAAAAGCTTCCGTACCATTAACATGTCATCCATCATTGATCTCAAATCTGCTCTTGAGCTTTTAAAGCCGTATTAAAGAAAAAAGGTAAAAACTAAATTGAAAAAGAATTGTCTTAAAATTGATAAAAATCAAATTGATGAGCTCCTTGTGTCAACAGTTAAGAAATAATCTCTTTTTTAGTGCCAGAAAACCTGGATGGACTTCATAGAACATACTGGATCTTTCTTTGATGACAGTGCTCCAGGTGAAGAGGATCTTATAAACTACTTTAAGTTTATTCGAACTGAGAGAAAAATGGCGTCTTCCTTAATGTGGGTCCTATGGTCATGTAAATGTAGTTCTGAAGAATCGCTATGGGATCAAGTTGCAGGGATTTCCTCGTATTACTACACTGCTAAAGAGCTACAACACTGATGTAAAGCAGAAGGCCTCAGTATTTGAATCTGATGACATTCAGCAGTTCATTGAACGCCCTGAGAACTCACCATATTGGCAAGTTAGAAAGGTATTAAACAAATAGATAAACACTAAACAGGGTCACTAAACAGGGTCAGAATCAGGCCAAAAGGCTGGAACCTTCACGGAAACTGTGTTTAAAAGGTCCAGCGAGCTGGGTTCAGCTTGGACTCGGACATTATCACCGTCCTTAGGCATTATCACGTGAGCGTGTATCCTTTAAAGTTTATAACAGACAAAAAGTATCCTTTAAAGTTTATAACGGAAGATAGTAACTTGAAAGCCTATAGTGTTCGAAACTCGGGGTCACCAATTTGGATACGCTCAGATTTAAACAACGACGGCTTAAATAATTACTTTATTAACTGAATAAAATATTAACTGTAAAATTTAGAGTATCAAAATTGTATATATAAGGTATATAAGGTGACGTGGCAGGATTTATGCTCATCTTGCCGCGTCAGAATATCCGGCTTCAGACTCTTCATATTGGATCGTCTTCCGCCACATATGCATATATAATATATAAATATAATGTAATAGATAAACACTAAACAGGGTCACCTAAAAAGGATGAGACTGTAGAGGATCTATTTTCTCCTTAAATCTGAACTAGGAATCCTTGAAGGAAAGGGAGAAAATACGGGAAAAGATATATGCTTGAGTAAATCCAGTAGTTCTCCAACCTGCATCGGATCTACATGTTCTCCTGCATAGTAGTTTATTACCTACATATATATTACTAATATATATCAAATAAACTATATCATAGAATTGTTCTTACTCTCTAAAATGGTGACCCCGAAGAAGAACAATGGCTGAAGTTCCCTTGGAGAATATTTAATCAGTAGCTCTTAAACTACCACAGTTCTGGGCTGAAGGAGCTAAAATCTGGTTCACACAAGCCAAATCACAGTTTGCAATAAAGAATATTACCAGTGAACTAACCAAATATCATCATGTGATTACAGCCTTGCCTAAAATGTACCGGGAGAAGAACAGTATACCTCTATAAAGATGAGACTATTGAAGAAATTCACATATACAGATCTGGAGAAAGCTGAGCTTATTCGATCTATGCCAGGGATAGGTGAAACCATCAGACCTAATGGATTCAATGCTAGCAGTCTGTCCTACTGATCAGAGCATGTCCCCATTCTGTTTGAATGAATTTCTTTGCAGGATACCAGGAGATATTCGTGGACATCTTCATACCTTTAGTTATGAGGACCCCCGTGCTCTTGCTCATCAAGCCGACCTTGTTTGGTCTTTCCATTCCAAAAACTAAACTGCAGCTAATACAGAAGCCAATAATCTACTCAGCTACCGCGTAAGAGGGGGGGCCGCGCCCCCCGCCCCCCTCTTCGCGTGCCCCCCCTGAGAGGCTGAGGGGGGCACCCATGGGGGGAGGCTCTTTTAATATTACATTTGCTTGCATTTCCCCTCCTCAGGCCAGGCACAGTGGCGTACCTAGGGGGGCAGTAGTATATATTCCTCTTGCTCGAGGGGGGGGGCCGCGGTGCCCACCCCCCTCTTCGCGTGCCCCCCCTGAGAGGCTGAGGGGGGCACCCATGGGGGGAGGCTCTTTTAATATTACATTTGCTTGCATTTCCCCTCCTCAGGCCAGGCACAGTGGCGTACCTAGGGTAACTAACATAATTTCTTTAGTTATTGTGAAAATTTTTTATTTTAACTTTTAATTGTAACTTTATATCTGAGCATCTTCTCTTTGTACAGTATAAAATAAAAACAGAAAAAAGTTTGCGGATTTCATAATATTTTTTTCATGCATTTTCAAAATTTTACAAAAATGAAAAATTTTAAGCACACATTTTTAAAATTTTGATCATTCAAAAACCTTGCCTGGGGTCAAGTGAGGTTCCACACAAAATTTTGGCCCGATCGGTTCAGCCGTTTTGACGTTTATTGGATACAAACAAACAGACAGACAAGCCAAATTTATGTATAGAAGAGGCGGAATCTTCATTTTAACATGTGTTCAATTCTGATCTCATAATTTATTATAATTTTAGAAACACTCCCTTAAATATTTAAGATGAACTAGTGAACACAGATTAAGCTTTAAACATTATTAATTTCACATTTTCTAGAGGAGAACTGAATATGTCTGATGAAATAAATGTCTGTTCTGGTATGATTGTTGTGAAGTTATTGTCAATAGCGTCTATGTCTGATATCCCAATAGGAGCACACCTAGTTGATTCAGATTTTATTTCGTCTCCATTAACAGAATATTTCAAACTGTATAGAATACATTCTTTGTTTCTTCTTTACTGTAATAAATTATGTAAAAAGAAAGACTTAAACAAGGTGTCCCCATATAGTCTCGAATACAAACCAGTCTCTGGATTCTTTCAGCTTGTAAAGTTTAGAACTCATACCATCAAGTTTAGTATCAGTGCCCATTTCTCAGATTCAGATTCCACTCCATAAACCTCTTAGTATGACTTTCTTTAAGATGTTCAATCATGTCTGCTATGGAAATATTTTTCCCACAACCACCAGGACAATCCGGGTGTACAACTTTAAAATCGGCATTTCCTTTCAATTCCTTCATCATTCTTATTTTCTGTTAGATCTATCTATCCTTTGCCTGATGTTGCAGCACATCCTGATTTAATTCCAATTCGTCAATCCTCTTATCTTTCTATTCTGTGTGGTCTG